AGCAACCTAGCATTTGTCGTACATACTGATAACAAAAGAAAAAGGTCTGAACTGATCTTTAGTTATTGTGTAAAATGAGTTAAGAGTTCGAGGGTGGGACTTGGGAGTGAGGGATTTGGACTACTACTGCTACTTTAACTGAAATGGAAGAACAAAACAATAGAAACGACCAGGTGCAAAAATTGGCAAGTCTTTTCTATTAGGGAAAAAAATTTTTTTTTTTACTCGTGGTAAATAAAAATTAATATAAAATAACACTTATTTTAAAATAGAGGAAATATCTTTTATACAGTTAGATATGAATATTGAAAAGGACAAAATTACGCATATACCTCGAACTATAGTAAATAGGATGCAAATGTCCTCTGTCATACTTTTGAGACATTAATGTCTCTATCGTCTAAAAAATAGAGCATATACACCCTTTATACTAACGGACATACACGTGTCATAATCTTATCCATCGATCTCGACATTTATCAACGGATAATATTGCAGTACGTGTTCCTATTTAGTCTTCCGTAAGAGTAAAGGACATATATAATCTAATTTATGAACGACAGGTGCGCTAATATCCTAAAAATATAACAAAAAATATCTATCAATCATTTACAATGATTCAAAGATATATTTACCATTTTTTCATATTAAAAATATACATAACATTTAAAGTCACAACACTACGATATACCAGAATATATCCTTTTTTTCATGTGATCATATACCCAATAGAAATAAATAAATAAACGGTAGTCAGAATGCGTAAATAAAATTTAGAGAAATTAAAGAGGATAATGCACGCGCAAATTACTTCACATCATTCGCTAATTTTTCGCATAAAAGACGCAACTTTAGGAATTGGGATCCATGTTGGGGACTGCATAATTATTCTTAGCCTTGTCAAAATAATAATAAAAAAAATTACTAGTCACTTCATACTCTCTTTTCTCCTCATATTTCAATTCTAGTTGATATTTATTTTTACAATAAAATATTTATTTTATTTATTACTTTTGATATATATATTTTTTTTATCCTCAGAATTAAATATTTATTTTTCAAGATTTAATATGAAATATCTTTTAATAGGTATAGTTTAATCAAAAGCTTATATTAATAATTATGTTTTTTTAATGGATATATCAAATTAAATAGTGACACGAAAAAGTGAACGGAAGGAGTATAGAAATATTTCTTTTTCGCGTCCATTTTTATTAGGAATAGTAAAAAAAAAGTCTTTTAAACTTTTTTATGTGTAAAAAAATAAAAATTATGAGTAAAAAATTGTAAATGACTTACAAAACCAATTCTCAGTACTATCATATTCACTTCTAACAACCAATAATCTGCACCTTAATCATTAGAATCTTATCTTTATTGTGTTGCAAATATTATTCTAAGAATGGTTGAGCAGTTACGAAAAGAATCTTATGAGTTAATTATTAGTTCTATAATTTCCAAAGAGTTTGAGAATATAGCATTAATTATTTATATTAATTTATTTATGAGCTAAAGCTCTACTTACATATATAATATATGTGTAAAGAACATTAAAAAAGGAGAATTGGCCTTATAATTGAGTAACTCGGTTTTTTTTTATTTTTATTTTTAATAAAGCATGCAATACTATATTGATGGATTAAAAAATAAAGATAGATTCATGTACCTCAAAAAGAAGTCTCTTATCTAATGAAATCATGAAAAAAAAATGACGCCTGTTTTCTACATTCATTTAATTAATTAATATATACTTATTTATGTCACAAATGTGACACGTTAATGTAGTCCTTATTGCCTTATTAAATATTTAATCAATTAATCATGTCTATTTATTTATATGTTATATTTTTCTAAAACATAATAATATTCGATCATGTAAAAAGATAAGTACAAACAATAAAACTTAACGTCCAGATACTCTAATATTTACTATAATGTTTGGTGTGATTTATAATTTTTATCTTAAAAATAAATATTTAAAAAATGAAATGCTTTTTTCTATATAATAAATTATAATAATGCTTTATAGTTCTACAACACAACATTATTTACTACGTACCTAAAATTTAAAATTTCTAGCTGCATGCTGATGACATATGGAATAATTATTTGTCTAAGATTTTTTTTTCTTATTATCATTTTAAATAGTAGAGGTTGATAGTAAAATTAAAGAGCAAAAAAGAATGATAAAGACATGAAATATAAGAAACAATATATATATATATATATATATATATATATATATATATATATATAT